CCCATGCCATAGGCTGACACCCCCCCCCCTCCCCAACTGTAGGTTGTGCTTTTTCCTTCCCTCCCTTTGGCTGCATCAGTCTGGCAGAGTGCCTGCATATGACCCTGCCCCTGGTGGTCGGGAGTGAGCCAAGGTCTGGCCCAGGGATATCGGAGACTGGAGTGTTGCATGTGAAGCTCAGACTCTGGCTGCAGCTGAGCGGCAGGAGGGTCCATGCACTTGTGTACGAGGGGCTGCTCGGATGGTTTCTCCATGGTCCCCGGGAGCTGGGGGGCAGGGGAGTTAACAGGTGCTCTAGGACTTGTTCCTACCTCACTTTGTTCACCTCGCTGGCTCTCCACAACCTTCACTGATGCTAGGGTGTCTCCCATGAGTGCTGAGCATGGGCCAGGCTTTCCTGTCCCAGGCTGGAGAGTGCTGCCTTGCCAGTACCTGCATCTGCGTGGTGCCCCCAGTTTAGAGAACCCACCCAGTTTAGTTCCCTGCCCAAAAGAAGCCCTGGGGGAGTGCCAGGGGGTGGTTTGAACTCAGGTCTGGAGCCTCCCTGCTGCTGGCCTGGACCTGCAATATCTGGGCTGGAACCCAAGCCTTGTCTGTGGTCTCTTCCTCCTAGTAAGCCCAGTGATGCTCTCATGCAGCAGCAGGACCTGGCTCAGCCTGGGCCCTGCCGCTGCCCAGTGACGGCAGGTGCAGACACTTGTGCTGGCTGCACTGGTCCCTTCTGCCCCTGTGCCCTCCCCACATGCCTCAGGCCACACTGCTGCCAAACAGATCCAGCCTGAGTGGGTTGGCAGGGAGAGCTGCTTCCACAGGGGCCCAAATCCTGTCCACAGCACCAGGCATCGCTAGGTGGCCCCCTTGCACTGTCCTGCCAGTCTGTGGGGCTCAGCGCCCTCCCTGCTCTTGCCTGCAGGTGGCGGAGGAGGAGTACCTGATCCAGGAGCTCCGGAAAATTGAAGCCAGGAAGAAAGAGCGAGAGAAGAGAACCCAAGACCTGCAGAAACTCATCACAGCAGCTGACACCACCACAGAGCAGCGGCGGGCCGAGCGCAAGGCGCCCAAGAAGAAGTTGCCGCAGAAGAAGGAGACCGAGAAGCCTGTAATTGTCTCTCTTCCCCCGCACACCCCTTGCAGCCTCATGGGGTCACGCCGATTTCCTGCCAAGTGCACCTGCCAGGGCAGTCCCGCAGGGCTGGGTCCTGGGCCTCCCTGGGGGTGGGGAGGGGTGCCTGCTTTGTCCCAAAGGTGGAGACGCCTTCGGTAGCATCTTTGCAGGGACAATGTGCTCTGGTGGTCGAGGGATCAAGGGCTTGCAGGAATTGGCCCACCTCTGGCATTCACCTGCTCTGTGGTCATGGGCAGATGACTCCACCCCTTGGTGCTTCAGTTTCCCTATATGTAAATAGGGGGTGATGGTATCCCTTGCTATGCTGCTGTGAAGGGCTGAGAACATCTGACTCAGGCACAGCATTGCTGGTAACCCAGGCTTGTCAAGCCGCAGGGTCACGGGGCCCCTACCCCTCTGCGCTGAGAGCAGGGGGTGCAGCGCAGGCTAGTTCTCATCTGATCAGCCATGGAGGGTGGGGAGCGACTGGCTTTGGCAACCTCAGGGTTCTGCTCCACACAGACAGTGCCCAGCACAGTGGCTCTTTTGTAGGCAATGGAGGGGAGGCCCAGAGCTGGAGTGTGCGTGGGTGGCTTTCCTGAGCAAGTGGCCAATTGCACAGCACAGCTTGCCCCTGCTTATGGCAAAGCCCCTGGTGATGGCACAGAAGGAAGGTGAGGATGGGAAGTGGCATCTACAGGATGCTGAAGCTCAGTCTGTGCCCCGCGCAGGGCCTGCAGGCCAGCGTACGTGGGCGGCCAGTGCACCAGGCAGGCAGAGAGCAGCGTCTGTTGTTGCCGCAGCATCGTTTCAACCATGACAGAGTCCATTAGGAGTCAATTACCACCCGGAGCAGGGGAACGGTAAGGACAAGATTGCATTTTAACTAAGAATCGGAATCAGGAGCTGCCTCCGCCTCAGCCCAACAAAGGGAAATCATTTACCGAGGAGTCAATTGAGGTTGAAGTGTTTACGGCGCGGCACGCGCGGCAGGAGAGCCTGCTTAATTGCTTATGCAAGGAGTGCAGCCCCACTCGCCTCAGCTCTGAGTGCTTGGGTTTCGCCCCCTTCTGCCTGCCGCACGGTGCCAGACTGAGGGCCGCGCAGGGGTTGAGACCCACACTTCCCATGCAGGGCATGAGCGGAGCCATGCTGCATTCCCTTCTCTGTGTGCAGAGCTGCGTGTCCCAGTCTGCAGTGCTGCCCTCCCGAGGCTGCTGTGATCCAGCTGAGCTGTGCGGCCCGGTCTGGTCTGGGGCATGCTGTGGCTGCTCTTGCCGTCAGGTGGCTAGTGTGGCCTGTGCCAGCTGTGTGCCAGGCCAGCTGGGCTGTGGTCTAAAGCAGCTCCCGGAGTGCTGCCCCAGAGATGTCGCTCAGCAGGGAGTGCCTGGAGTTACCGGGGGCCTTCCCTGGTCACTTCAGTGCCACCTCAGTGCAACCCCTTAGCAATCCAAACCCAGCTGGTACCACAAGCTACTGAGATGCAGGGTTATGGAGCAACATGGTGGGGGGAGTCCTGGGAACCCCACATGGCTTTTCCTTTGCATCTGCACCTCAGGATCAGACAGAGCGGGGGAGAGATGTGTGCTGGCATGGTGCAGGACTGCTGCTGGCATCTCCCATGCAGCTTGGCTCCTTCCTTGGGGGGTTCCCTGGGCCTGCTCACCCCCGAGAGCCTTGCACGTGGTTCCTCTGAGAGGCATCATCTGATCCTGAGAGGCGCAGATGTGTGGTTGCCATTATGCCGACACACCCAAGGTCCAGAGAAGGGCAACAAGGATGATGAGTGTTATGGAGGGGCTTCCATGTGAGGGGAGACTAGTGAGGCCAGGCCTGGTCAGTTTAGAAGAGACGCTGCAGGGGGACAGGAGAAGGGTTTACAAAATACTAAATGGGGAAGAGAATGTCATTAGGGGTTTATTGCTGACGGTCTCTCAGCAGACAAGAACGAGGGGTGTCAGTGTGAAACTAGCAAGCAGTAAGTTTAATAACAGGAAGTCCTTTTTTCCCCCTGTGTGTCATTAACCGGGAGAGACTGATTGCCACCAGATGCGTGGGAAGCTGTCGTTTAGCCGGATTCACCAAGGGATCCGACGTGCTGGGAGGAAAGGGGTCAGTTGCTATTGAGCAGGGGAGCGAGGGGCATGGCCACTGCATCAGAGCTTCAATGCTGGAGGCTGCAAGGGAGAGAGGAACAGGGGAATACCCTGCTCAGACCCAGTCACTCTCCCAGCCTCTGCTCTCTGCTGCTGTGTGACCCAAGACACCGGGCAAGACGGACCTGGGTCTGACCCAGCACGTGGCAGGTCTTATGTTCCCATGTGCCTATGGATTGGGAAGAAGGGAGATTTCTTCAGCAGATGCCTTGGGGCAACAGCAGGGAGGGAGAGCACAGCCCTGGAGCTGGCCCTTGGATGGGAAGGGCGAAACCAGCTCTGGGAGGTTCTTGAGATCCTTTTCCCCGACCCCGTCTGCAGCGCAGCCCTGGGGAGTGCTGCTTCCTGAAGGTCCGGCCCATTGCCAAGCCTTGTCCTGGGCTGCGCTCAGTCAAATGAGCTTTGTGCTGGTGGCTGGGCTGCCCTCTCGCAGCATGAACCAGCCCAGTTGCCCCCTGAGCTGCCTGAGGAGTACAGGGCGGGAGGTGAACATGCAGTATGTCCTGCTGCTGGAGAACTGGTCCCAGGACTTGCAGAGCCTTGTCTGTGTGCTCGGAGCTGTACAGATTGGAGGTTACACAGGCTTGTTGGTGACAGGCTGGATCCTGGGAGGGCCCCAGTGTCCTCATTGACTGAACTGGGCCCTAAATAATCGCTGTGCATCCTTAGTCATGGGGTGTGCTGCTGGTTCCCCTGCTTGCTCTGGGGCTGGGATGGCATGAGGCAAAGGCGGCTTTGTGCCTATAAAGGTGTCACGGAGCAGAGCATTTCCCTTTGCCCAGGGCTTCCACGGGTTCTCTTGGGATTTTGCTTTTCCCCCTCCCCCCTTTGACACGTGGCTTTGGCAGGTGGCAGTGGCAGGAAGCGGTGTTTCCCCTGTGTCGACTCCTGCATTTCCTCCCTCAACGCATCCTGTTTCGATCTCTTCCAGGCTGTTCCTGAGACTGCCGGCATCAAGTTTCCCGACTTCAAATCCGCAGGTGTCACACTGCGCAGCCAGAGGGTAGGCAGTTGCCAGGCCTCTGGGGCCGGCACCAATCTTTCTCCCTGTCTCTGTTCCTAGCCCTTCTCCTTTCATGGCCGTGGGAAGGTACGCTCTTGCCTCTTCCATCAAAACCAGGTTTGGCCTGCAGCAGCGAGCGTGGGTCACGGCTGGGCTGGAGAGCATGGCTGCATTCGCCTTGTAGGGCAGCTTATCTCTGTGGTGCAGTCAGAGGCCCTTTGTGCATGAGCATCTGAACCTGCTGATGCCTCTTGCCTGTTAATTGTTGCCTGAGCTGTTAGTGTCACCCAGCAGCCCCCACGGAGCTGTCTGGGATCCAGTGGAATAGAGCACACAGCTCTGTGAGAGCACTGAGGACATCAACGTTGGCAGATCCCAGGTTAGATTCACACACCGAGATGCACACGAGTGGGTCTGTGCTTCCTGGGTGCTTCTTTACGGCTTTCTTTAAGCTTAGGAAATCTTGCTGTGGAAAGCCACAGGCTCCTAGTTTTTCCCCTCCTCGCTGTTGGTGAGATGGTGAGCAAAGACCAGCTTGCGTTGTGTGCGATTGCTGCCGTCTCTCGGAGGTTCTGGGGTACGGGGTCTGGGAGCCCGCCTGTCTGTCCGAGTGGTTCTGGAGCCAGCCTTGCAAGACCCAGTTTGCCCAGGGACTCCTCAGTCCAGTCCTGGTTTTTATAGGCAGGCAGCAAATGTCCGTAGTGTTTCATTACCACTCTGAGAGCATGGGGCAGTAGTAGGTTGGTTGCATTTCCTCCCTTGCATAGTGATTTCTGCAGACACCCTTGCGAGGCTGCTTTACAGGGAGCTGGGTTGGCACCTGGAGAGTGTCAGAGGTTGCAGGATGCCCTGGGGCTCTTTGGGCTGTTTCTCCGGACTCTGTTGTAGCCTCGCCTGGGCTTGGAGCTGCAGCTTGCAAGTGATGGATCCTGTTTCTCAAAGGGGTGCTGCTGCCCGTAGGTTTGCCACATGCATTGTTCCCCAGTGGCTGCTCCAGCCCCCTCTTCCCAAGCCACCGCGCTGGGCAGTTTTCTGATACCTCTGCACCAGCCTTCCCGTTTGCAAGCGAGCTAGTAGCCAGCAGCGAGGCAGAAGGCTTCAGAGGCGCCCTGTCCCATGCATGTGGGATCTCTGAGTTGGTGCTGGGACCCCATTGCTGTCCCAGGGGCTGTGGAGCTGGAGGAGCTTGTTTCGCCTGCTGTCCCCTTGGGTAACAAAGCGAAGGCCCAGGATGAAAGGTGCGTGCCGCCATTGCAGAGCGCACTGACGAGCGCTCCAGCTCAATCATTTAAGTCGCAGCCAGGCACCTCCCTCCAAAAAAAGGCTTCCAGCCAGCAGCCTGCCACACTCCCCGCTAACTAGAATCTGGTAGACAAATTGCCGGTCAGACCAATTAAAAAAGAAATAGGGGAAGAAAACTTTGAGCACAGCTTTCATTCCCATTGATTCAAATATTCGCCTTCCCTGGCTTTTAAATATTTACTAGCCAGCTGAGCATTTTGTAGCACTGATTAATGAGCTACAATTTACTGCAGTTGGGTTGTTTTTTTCCTCAGGGTGGGGGCTGGGCCCACGCCATGGCTCCAAGATGAATGAGGCTTCCTGCCAGAGCTCAGGCCGCGGGTTTGAGGGGGAGGCGGGCATTTGAAAATGTTTATTCTTCATATTTGATGTGCCCTGTGCTGAAACAGCCATGCTCGTGCCGTATCTGAGGCTCTTGGCTTCATGCCTGCCCCGACATTAACGCCAGCGTGGTCCTCCTTGGCAGCTAACACACGAAACATCTGTCTGTCCTCCCCGGATCAATACCGTCCCTTCCGCACCTTGGCTCTGGACGCAGCAACATAAAATATCAGTTATAGTTATTTGGGTTTGATGATAAATTTAATTACTTGGGGCAATTAATAATTTATTTGTTTAGTATCGATTGCACTCCGAGGCATCTCGGTCAGATAAGCTGATGGGAATCTGCACATCCTGATTAGCCAGGAGAGTGTGTGCTTTTGGGTCTGTGACTTTCTAGGTGGTAGAGGCCCCCAAAGGCTCTTGTTGCTTCTGCTGGCAGCTTTGCAGGGGCGAAGCCATTATGTGCCATGCAGTTTCATGCTCCCCCCGGTTGTGCATACATGTGAGAAGTGGAGAGCATATGTGTGTGCTGCAGAGCTGCTTTGTCAGCTTGCATGGGTTGTCTCCTCCTCATGAGTGCTGAAGTCCTGAACAAACTATGTTGCTCGCTTGTGCATCTGGTGTGGGCATCTCTTGGGTCTGTTGTGTGTCCTGTAGCTAGGAAAGGCTGTGGGAGAACAGCACCTTGCACAGCAGCCCCTGTGCATAGGTATGTGCTGTAGCAGTAGGGAATGGAGAGGACTGGCGAGCTGTTAGAGGATGACGGTGCTACTGAAGGAGCCAGAGCTGGTACCTGGAGACCACTGGTTCCTCCTTTCTCGTAATGCAAGAACTGGGGAGCACCCCCCAAGCATGGAAAGGCTTCGTTGTCCTGCATGGCAGCACCAGCCAGCCTGGGACTCTCTGCACAGCACAGCGACGAGGCCAGACTCTCCCCCATCCTGCTGGTAACAGGAACTCAGCATTGCAGCAGCAAGGATTCCTTTTCCTTTCCATTTCTAATAATGCCGGAGGGAGCTCAGCCCTGCTGCAGGGACCAGCCCGGCCTGGCTGGCAGGGCCAGGTAAATCTTCCTGTGACCCAAGACTGTGTGTCACACTCTGCCACGTGCAGCGTCTGCTTTCTCTGACACCCAGTATCGGCCATGGCTATTGATGAACGTGAGGCTGGGTGGCCCTCAGGGTTGAGCCTGGCTGGGCTTAGGAAGCCTAAGGCCAGAAACACCAGGCTGAACACAGCCTTAACTCCGGCTGGGCACAGACAGCACACCCAGGCCATTGTGTATGCTCTCACAGCAAATCCGTGTGTGTAGGTTGTAGCATCTGGGACGGTGTACGAGGGTGTTTCAGAAAGTAGCAGCCACTTGTAAATAAAACCACCATGTGCAAGGAGTGGAAGACGGCTCAGTGCAGCAGCAGAGAACGTGGATGGTGGCGCCGTTGAGCGCAGCCGTCACGTGCAACTCCAGCGAGAAGTGGTGCAGCCCTGGAAAGGTTCATTGCTTGCAGCGGTTTGATTTTGGAATTGCTGTTCTGAGACGCCCTCATACGTCCCATCCTGCCTTCAGCTGCCAGGCTGGCCCAGGGCGCATCCGTTCCCCTTCTCTGCGGGCGCAGTGCTTTATTCATCAGGTCATCTCCATGCTGGTGCGGTCCAGACGTGCCACATACGGAAACAAATATTTCCTTTGGCGACCTGCTACGATCCCAGCAGCTGCTTAATGCGCTGCAGTTACATGCAAGCTGTTTAGAAGGGAAAAGCCATGGACATGCAGGGCTAGCAGTGCCCAGCCTTGCGGTTTCTTGTTTTTCTGTATCTCTGGGGTGAAAATGTGGATACTTCTTTCTTTCCATGGGAGCAGATGGCCACCATGCCTGTGACAGCTGTGCCTTGGCCCCCTGGCAGCCCCCATAGGGCTGAGCTTTAGGTCTGTAGCTGTCTCCTATTTGGGGTCAAACCCAGCTGTCTACACCCTCCAGAGTGAGGTTTTAGGCCGCGATCCCTTGCAGCTCACTGTGGTCTCATGTAAGGGTGTGACTTCGCCGGGTCCAGTCCCAGGGCTTTCAAGGGACCCACCAGATCTCAGACAGGAGGATGCCGTTGATTCAGAGTAGAAAGAGGTGTTTGAAATGATGGACTGCTCCTATGTCTGCCCAGTTTCTGAGTCACTCAGCATCCAGGAGCGCCTGGCTGGGCTGAAGGGCAAGGCCTGTGTGCTGCGACCGTCTCGTGGCTTTCGAAAGAATCAGTCCTGTCCCCCCCCCCCGGCCCTGGCCAGGGACTGTCACTTCAGGCTGTCTCAAATCTGCTGTGATTTTCCTCTTGAATGGAGCCAAACAAGTCTGTGCCCCCTCCCCAGAGGAAACCTCCACGGACTGGGAGCCTCATTCCAGCTGAGGGGATTCCTTCAGTTCATCTCCCCAAGAAGTTGTGGGTCCCTTCAACCAGACGACCTGTTCATCCAGGAGTACTGGTGGCAGCTGCCACCTCTGGAAGATGGCATCCAGCGTTTTAACACCTTTGTGGGAGGAGTAAGCCTTCAGATATCCTGTGGTCTCTTAGCATCACTCGTGCACCTGAGCCCAGGCTGGCTAGACGTGGGTGTAAAACCTGTTATTTCATGGGTGAGAGGAGCCAGGGATGAGTTAGCTGCAGGTTTCCCACTTCTCAGCCCGAGCACCATAGCACAGGCGTTCCCGCAAGTCGCACAGAAATCATTGTTTCTGCAGTCACCAGCAGTGAGCGTCAGTGGTAGAGGCCTGGGGCTCCTGGAAGTTGGGTACCTGGGGTTGTGATTTAGTCACGTGTGTGAACACGCAGTGATTCCCTTGTGCTGGTCTGTAGAAGACGCATCAGCATGTTTTTGTGTGTACTTTCTGTGTCAGTGACTTTCCTGCAGTCTCAGGTTGGCACACATGGGCTAACGGCAGTAATGAGGCTCGCTGGAGGGTTCAAGAAGAGGGTGGGCACCCCTGGTCAGGAGTGATCTAGGCACAGGGAAGCCTGTGCTGTGCTATAGGGGTGTCCCAGGCTTCTGGGCTCTGCTGGCTGTTCCGCCCTTGTCTGCTCCACGTGTTGGGGGTTTAAGCCTCCCCAGAGGTGCTGGGTGCTGCTACAACCCAGGTTGGGGATGGGACTGGGCTGTGCCAATGCTCCTGCTGGGAGTTAAAGCGAGAGGCGGCTCCTCACCCTTCTGCTTGGGGTCAGACCAGCACCATATCTGGGGTCAGGAAGGGATTTTCTCCCCTGGTGAAACTGGCCTGGACTGGAGCGGGGTTGCCTTCCTCTGTAGGGGGTCACAGCCTCTGGCTGGCGTCCCTGCATTATGTATTGACAATCTTTTATGGAAGCAGGACGTTGGCGTCCATGGCCCC